AGGTGGAAATGCTCTGTGCAGGTGTTAATCAAGTTAAATCCCAACAGCCAATCAGCAAGAAGTATAGAGGAAAGCTGCATGCCTATTGGTTGATGCCCTGCATTCCATTGTGATGACTCATGCCCAGACGTGGTAAACACGGCACACTAACACAGTAATACATTTGCTATAACACAGCCAAAAAACTCAAATAAAACCATTCTAAAAGCCTGTATCACAAAAATTTAAAAAACGCCTAGGGGTATTTGCCCACTGTACCTCCATACCAAATTTCAGGACCTTAGGCCCTAAAATGAAGAAGCTGAATCCATTTAAAAAATGGCAGGAGGAGGAGAAGAAGAAACATCAGAAAAAGCAGTATGGGTTCACCACCACTTCGTGGTGTGGTGAACCCATAATAAAATGAACGGGAGATACATGTATGATCAACCAAAGTCAGCCTCATTTACAAGGAAAAAATCGTGGCGAGAATCGTGGCCTGCTGTCGCGTGTCTATATCCTACTGTACAGAGGACTTTTGGGTGAACGATAACAAAACTCACGTCTATAAATAAAGCCATGCCGATAAAAATCGCCTCAAGATGATTTACATATGAAGTATAGTGCATAAGACCGGTTCGGATGTGCCGATGCAAGCACCGTTCTTTCTCCCGTTTTCCGAGTTACCAAGTTCTCCTGGCCTCGCCGTATCCTGGCCCATTTCTCGTCATCTCGCCAAACAACCAGCCCGTGGGGTCGTGTGGCGTAGCGGCAGAGTGCGCGACTCGGAACTAAGAGTCCCGGGTTCGAGTCCTAACATGCCACCGATCTTGTGCCCTTGGGAAAGGCACTTTACACGACTTTCCTCACTTAGCTCAGGTGTAAATGAGTATTGTCCTGTCATGCATTTGTCCCCTGTGCTGGTGGCGGCATTAATATAAGTTGAAGAAACTTGAGTGGGCCGTCACCACGTCTGGTAATTACATGTTGGAATAAAAAAAAAAAAAACAGCCCGTAAAACAAATTCGTGGCCACCATGCTTTTGTAACGGGATAATATAAAGAAAAAAAATGGCTAATACCACGGAATAATAGTGATGAATGAAAGGTTCATTTAACTTCAGCGTAAGTCATGACCAACCGAGATTTTAGAAATCTACATGTATAGAGACCAAGCGGCGGTGCTAAACAACCCAATCCACATCCAAAACAAAGACAAAGGCAGTTTCTGCTAGATTTCTAACCAGTCGGATTGTACATATTCTTACAAAATTATTTTGTGCGGTTTCATGTAAAATATTGCCGGGCGAAATGTGTAAATAAGTTGGTCATATCCTCCTCACATTATGTTGGCTTCAAGAAAATGTCGGTCAAAGCGCCCAAATTCTGGTGATTGTCGACCTACAAATTAGTACAAGTCTCCCAGTCCGATATTTGTACGTAACTTGTATGGAACTCTTTCCTGATTGAGATGAAATTTTATCCGAAGAAACTACAAGCACAGGGAGGCTAACGGGTGTGCTCACCAGGAACGGTGCACGTGGAAATGTTGTTTACTTGTACTCTTATATCGGGGTACATTTTGGCCACGGAGGAGGACAACTTACCAGTACTGGCTTCAACTCACCTTCGGGGTCGGCTCGTTCCGGCGCCCGCCCACAGGCCTGGCCGCGCCCGGTCCCCATCTGACCCGGTCCCCATCTGGCACGGTCCCCCGCCCGGCAGACTGTCCGCTCCCCGGGAGCGGCCGCTCACACGGACGGAAAGTGAAGTATTATCTTGCTGGTGGTCGCCTGCACTATCTTCTATGGGCTACGTTTCGAGTTTTATACTCGAGTATACGTCATCAAGGGTGACATAGTGTGTAACACCCCTGATTGGTTAAAACTTCACATACCACGTTAATATAATAAATTATTCAAATGACAATTGCTGAGTCGACAGTCAGGGAAGTCCAGGAGATTGCATCATGCTGCCATATATAGAACGGTCAGCTGCGGTCAAGCCCTGACCTACTTATCAGCAATCCGCTTGTGGGTATGTCCCTTTTGCGGCAATGCCCTGTCATACATAAGAAAATTACTTTTTTTGAAATACATAATTTTGAAGTTCGTAGATCGATTACAAAGATGATAATTTCTAATTTTCTCTCCGTTTGCTCAACAGAATGTGTTACATTTCATGCTATAGATAAATTTAATTTCATTCTAGAAGGTAATAACCCTTACTGTGTACAAATAGGTAAATATTCTTCCTCTCCTTTTCGTCTTAGCAGACGCTCTGCTCAACGTCGATGGACTCGTCCGTCGACGGATGAGTGTAAAAACTAAAGCAAAGTGTTTATTCAGTAATTCTGCAGTTTCAAGGTCTGATGTGACTACTTTACCCTGACTGTCCTTCATTGGACCCACTGTTTCTTTAGTAATCTTTTTTTCTCTTTTATAAGCGAAAAATGAGTTAGATTCCTCTTTATTCTTTGCTAGTTTCTCCTCAAACGTCTTCTTAGTTCTCTTCACTAGCTTCTTTGTTTTTCGTTCCATTTCCTTGTACTTTAGATAATTCTTGTATTCTTTTGTCTCTTTGTACACTAGCCACAGTTTTCCTTTTTTTTCTGATTTTCCTCAAAAGGCTTTTGGTCATCCGTATACTTATTATTATTATAGGTGTTTTTTTGCGGTGGTCTTCTTGGTTTCATTGGAACAAATTTCTGTATTCCCTCCTTTATCACAGACTTAAAGTAGTTCAAGCTTGTATTAGTATAAAACTCCTCTATCTCAGACCAATTCACCTCATATAGCCATTGGTTTAATCTGACCATGTCTGCCTTTTTAAAGTTTGGAATCATTTCTTTATTTTCCTTTATATTTATTGTTGTAGTTAATTCAAATAAAATCGTACTGTGATCAGTACTACCAAGCTTCCCAATGTCCTCTACCCCTGAGACCATGCCGTCCTCACTGGTCAATATCAGGTCTAGTATGTTCTCACCCCTAGTAGGCATGAGGACTTTTTGATGGAGAAAACTGTCATTAGATAACTCAAGAAACCTAGTGCCATCAACATCTGCAGTCATCGTTCGCCAATAAATTCCAGGATAGTTAAAGTCTCCAAATATTACACATTTCTTGTTACCTTCGCCAAGAAGGTTATGTTTTCGTAGGCGTTTGTGTGTGTGTGTTTCTGTCTGTCTGTCTGTCTGTAAACACCATGAACTTGAGAAGGTTTAAATGGATTGACTCCATATTTAGTAGGTAGGTAGATCTTGATGAGACCTCGAAATGATTAGATTTTGGGCCCCCTAGCGGCTTCTAATGGTACTGCAGCTCAACTTCCGGTTTTGATATCTCGTGACGTCCTAGGGTCACGAAATTTAGATGGTAGATAGGTCTTCTGCTGGGAAAGCTTGGAAAGAAGTGGCGTAGGTATGGGCCCCCTAGCGACTTGCTCAGGAACTGCAGGGTCAGTTCTTTGAAAATATTCAAAAGAGGATAACTCAAGAACATGTGGACGGATCGTCGTGATTTTTGGTATGTAGGTAGCTTAATGACGCTTAACATAATTATATTATAATACAATATGCAAATCTGGATGTAAGTTCATAAATAATGAGGACATTCTATAAATCAGCTGCATTACATTATAGGACTATTCAAGCTTGTGACATGTAATTGAGAACGAGAGAAACACAGACAGATATTGATTATGTAAATTAACACTTGATTTGCATAATTAATGAGACAATGTTATGATTCCATAATGGTAACTGCCTGGAATTTCATACTTGGAGTATTTGAAAGTTAAATGAAGGTGAACATCATTAAACATTACTTATTCAAATAAGAACCTCATTTGCATTATTTAAGAGGAATTGATAGAATGGCTTTTTTGTTAAGATGAGGCTGTCTTTTGATGGAGAATCTGATCAACTGATAAAATTCATGCAAATGAGGATCCTATTTGCATAATCAGGAGGAATCCTCTTCGTCAGTCATAAAGATTAACATAATTTGGCGAAGGTATGAGATCGTGGGACTCTAGTTAGCAATTGCTTCGATCATTTCATACAAGGCATCGTTATTTTCTTCTTTTGAGTTCGGGGACCTATAGACTAGTCCTAGTAGGATTTTATCACCTCCATGAAAAATTGAGACATTTTTTTTTGGTGCGTCTGTGTGTGTGTCTGTCTGTATGTGTGTGTGTGTCTGTGTGTGTGTGTGTTTGTGTTTCCGCACATTTGTAGTAAGCATAACTTCCTAACGCCTTTATGGATTGTGATAATATTTGGTATGCTGGTAAGTCTTAGGAAGTCGAAGGTGAAGGTCAAATATGGGACTTCTGGTGGCTGACCTGTGTATTGCAGCAGAACTTTCAGTGTTTGTATCTTTTGACCTGAACATGCTATGGTCGGATTTTTTGGTGACACATAGCTTAACCTGTCAGGAATAAGTGGTGTGAGTGTGGTCCCCCTAGCATCTTGTTCTAGAACTCCAGGGGAATTTCTGGCTAAATCTTTAAAAGCCAATAAGTCCAGATAGGAACAATGTATTTTTATCATTTTTGGTATGTAGGTAGATCGGGGAGAGTTGTACATAATTACATGCAAATTTTGCAAATGATGACTTAATTTGCATAATTAATGAAGTTATTGTATAATTACTGTGTTTTATATAATAGTCCTGTTATACATGTAATGTATTTAATCTGTGGCTGGTGGGGCATCAACATATACCAATTAGGCAAATGATAACCTAATTTGCATAATTAATGCGAAAATTCTGTTACTCCTTATTGAATGATGGGAATTTTGTGACGTGTAAGTTAATCAAAAGTTAACATCACGATGCATGCATTACGTTAATGTGGAGGTCATTTGCATAATTAAAAAAGAAATTTAAGCCTTTATTTCATGGAGGTCTGAGATCTCGGAACTCTTGTGCTATATTTTTCTTCTTTTGTAGTACTTCTTATAAGGCAATACACTGTGAGGATATCTGTACATTCTAAGTAGGTAAGCAATCTAATCCGGCAGTAAGGATGTTATAATGATACAAACATGGCATTGATAGTAATTTTAGAATTTGTAGTGCCAGTTGATTTGGTTATCAAGCTACTGGACATTGGTGGCAGGTATAAAATGTATGTTGGCAATTATTGTTTCAGTCTCCATTTTGTTTTAGCTGCAGACTTTCTTAATTTCTTTTTGTGATGTGCTCAATTATGGATGGGACATAACTGTTAATATTGGTTAAATAAATTAAAAATACATAATGTATATCATGATGATGAGAATGTAAGCAATAAATAATTCTTTGCTAAAAGATTTACAGTGAATTGTCCTTCATATATTTTATTTTATGATGCAGTCTGTGCAGTATATGTACTGCGTTTGTGACAAAAATGAATCTTCAAGGTAGTGTAATGTTCCATAATTAGTGTAAGATATTTGTTCTCATGTTCTTACAGTGAATTGTCCTTCATATATTTTTAGTTTATGATGCAGTTTGTGCAGTATATGTACTGCGTTTGTGACAAAAATGAATCTTCAAGGTAGTGTAATGTTCCATAATTAGTGTAAGATATTTGTTCTCATGTTCTTACAGTGAATTGTCCTCCATATATTTTTAGTTTATGATGCAGCTTGTGCAGTATATGTACTGTGTTTGTAACAAAAATGACAACAATGAATTTTCAAGGGAGTAGTATAATGTTCCATAATTAGTGTAAGATATTTGTTCTTAATATGTTCTTACAGTGACTTGTCCTTCATATATATTTTTAGTTCATAATACAGGTTGTGCATTATATGTACTGTATTTGAGACAACAATGAATCTTCAAGGGAGTAGTATAATGTTCCGTAATTAGTGTAAGATATTTGTTCTCATGTTCTTACAGTGAATTGTCCTTCATATATTTTTAGTTTATGATGCAGCTTGTGCAGTATTCGCACTGTGTTTGTGACAAAAATGACAACAATGAATTTTCAAGGGAGTAGTATAATGTTCCATAATTAGTGTAAGATATTTGTTCTCATGTTCTTACAGTGAATTGTCCTTCATATATTTTTAGTTTATGAGGCAGCTTGTGCAGTATACGTACTGTGTTTGTGACAAAAACGACAACAATGAATTTTCAAGGGAGTAGTTTAATGTTCCATAATTGGTGTAAGATATTTCTTAATATGTTCTTACAGTGACTTGTCCTTCATATATATTTTTAGTTTATGATACAGGTTATGCATTATATGTACTGTGTTTGTGACAAAAATGAATCTTCAAGGGAGTAGTATAATGTTCCATAATTAGTGTAAGATATTTGTTCTCATGTTCTTACAGTGAATTGTCCTTCATATATTTTTAGTTTATGAGGCAGCTTGTGCAGTATATGTACTGTGTTTGTGACAAAAATGACAACAATGAATCTTCAAGGGAGTGGTATAATGTTCCATAATTAGTGTAAGATATTTGTTCTCATGTTCTTACAGTGAATTGTCCTCCATATATTTTTAGTTTATGAGACAGCTTGTGCAGTATACGTACTGTGTTTGTGACAAAAATGACAACAATGAATCTTCAAGGGAGTGGTATAATGTTCCATAATTAGTGTAAGATATTTGTTCTCATGTTCTTACAGTGAATTGTCCTCCATATATTTTTAGTTTATGAGGCAGCTTGTGCAGTATACGTACTGTGTTTGTGACAAAAATGACAACAATGAATTTCCAAGGGAGTAGTATAATGTTCCATAAATAGTGTAAGATATTTGTTCTTATGCTTGATATTCCCAGGCTTGTATAGATAAGTCATTCTGGCTATATGTTATTTAGAAAAGGATTGAAAGTTCTCTTCTTGTCAAAAGGATACTTCTCCGTCTCTCTCATTCTATCCGCAGTTTCTTACTTCAACAGTGAGGCATATGTCTGCAAATAAACAAATAATACTTTGCTGGGTTCCAAATTCAAGACAATCGTTGATCGAAGCCATCCTATGCCATCCTACGCCCTGGTACTGATTTATTTACCTGTTCCATGCCAGAGCTGCAGATGCTGAATAGGCCTTCTACAAAGAGGAATTAGGAAAGAGGAATCTTATACAAAGAGGATGAAATATACCTTTTCTAGCATAAAGTTAAACAAAATTCGTGCATTTCAGAAAAAAAAAAACGTTACCTTGTAATCTTGAACGATCCGGTCCAGAGTCACCTTCAGGTCCGGAAACGTTGGTCTGTTTTCAGGGAGGGTTTCCCAACAGCACCTCATCACATCGTAACTGTTGGGTACAGAATATTTGCATCAACGGAACAGGCCATTTACTGAAATTCTGCCATAAGCTGATAGGGCGTAGGTCTTCTCATTAGTGGAACTGTGCTATAGCCAATACAAAAACCGTGACTGAACCCTCCTTCTCGTTACACTAGTACTACGAAGGCCCAGAGTGACAAAAGTGGCAGCCTCTTAGTCTAGAGGTGCTCACGGGCCTCCGCAATGGTGCTCACAGGCCTCCCCCCTGAGGTTTTTGCACACAGCACATGGCCTATGTGGAGTTCTGGGGGCACCTCCCCCAGAGGTTTTTGCACAAAGCAAATATCCTGTGCGGAGTTCTGAGGGCACCCCTGCAGAGGCCCGTGATCGAGCACCTCTGCGGAGGCCGCAACTTTTGTCATTCTGGGCTTTCACATAAAACAAGGCTGAATACAAGGGCTGCGGACGTACATCTCCTGAGGACATAGGGCAGGTTTCTCCAGCCTGTAGCCATCCGGCAACAGTTTCATGAGCTCTTTGCCGGTCATCCGACCGTACGGCTTCTTACCTAAAGGATTAAATATATCACGGTTTAACACAAAATTGTACTTATGTGGTCATTAATATATATTGAGACATTCTGAGTTCAGACAAGGTACCTACTTGTAAATCGTGGAAAACGTAACTATATATTACAGAACAGCGGAAACGGTTTTCTAAAGAATTGAAAGAATGCAATATCACATTTCATAGCTGATGATGGGGAATAATGACGTTGTGGCAAATACATGTTTCATTGAATATGTATCTCCACTGCTTACAAAGTGCGTCAAATACATGACACTATTGTCTGTGCTTCCTTACCCATTGTCATGATCTCCCACAGAAGGACTCCAAAGGACCACCTGAAACATAGAAAATACAACACGTCTATATTCTCATTTAACTTCATTCTGTATATCAATATGAATTCTATACACTATGCAGATGAATGGATTTATGAATGGTAACTATGTGTAGATGTATAAAAGTGCCAATAGCATATACATACACATCACTCTGTGTGGTGTACGTGTGGTAGAAAAGGGACTCGTATGCGATCCAACGGACGGGAAGGTGGCTTTGAGTTAGTAAAAAGGAATGTTAAAATACGATTAGAACACATTACATTAACATATTTTGCAAACGACTCGTATCTATTTCACAGCATTTCAAGATTAAACTAGTTTAAAGGACTATCAGAAGACGGAGATATGATACCTTCGTGCTTTTGACGTACTCAGACTCCTCGTAGATATCCCGAGACAGACCAAAGTCTGAGATCTTGGCCGTCAGGTCCTTTCCAAGGAGCACGTTCCTGGCTGCAAGGTCACGGTGGACACACTGGATGGACAATAGGTTACATTGCAATACCACAGTGCAGTTATATAACACGTGACATTAACCAGGAAAAACATGAGATTTTACATCAATCATTTAGAAATGTCAAAGTTAGCATAGATCTAGTGTCTGATGGACAACGATACAGGTTTATAATGATGTATTTTCTAACCGAAATGACTTTGGGTCGCGTCGCCTTTTTGTGTTCCTTCCCCAGTATCTTTCTTTCTTAGTTCTATTGCAACATTGTCTATGAGTGCCCCTGTCTTCTCCCCACCTTAAGATGATCTGTACGTTGTAGTTACTTGTCATCAAAAGAACATGTGATGTGGCAGATCGGTCTATAGACACGGTTATGAGCGTAAAATAAGGCCATGGTGAGATCTTAGATGCATTTGTTCATGTGTATAGAAAAATCAGCAAACGTGCTGTTGTGTACATTGTACCTGCATGGCGGCCAGATGACTCATCCCATTCGCGATGTCAATACCGAACAGGATCAGCTGGTCCATCGGCAGCTGAACCCCGGATGTGGCGATGTTTTTGTCGTCTGTCTGGTCCATCTCCTCAGGACGGTTGTCCTTCAGCCAGTCCTTCAGACAGCCGTTTGGTGCGTACTCAACCACAAGTGCCAGAGGACCTAGTGTGGATGAACGGATTAATTGATAGATCGCTAATCTGACATTTTCTGACATCATTCGTACCTTTGGGAAAATGATTGCTCTAAGACGGAATTCAACCAGTTTCGGCTTTATTTGTCTTTCTCAAGAATTACAGAAATCGGACCACTCCTCCATCTATACCTTTTACTGTGCTTCTCTAGTGCAGCTGGCGCTCTGTAGCCTGGTATCCAGCCTATCGTGTTTGGTGCACGTTGTCTTTGAGGCTCTAATAATTTTCGCCCGCCTAGCCCAATAGCCTGTGATAGAATTTGGCACGTCGGAGATTAGCCCCAACACAAACTCCCGTCGTGAAAAACCTTCCGAGGAACCTAGCTCAGGCTAATCAGCATCCCCGAAGAAAAACTGCCTCGAGCGCGATAGACTGGATGCCAGGTGCTCTGCAATCAGCGTTATAAGAATCTCATTTTGCCCTGGTTTAGGCTGCATTGTCCCTTTTTATTATATTAATTAGTACCAGACAAATAATATCACAGAAGTATTGACCTCAATCGTGAAATTTGAATTTCATCCCTAGTATTACCTTCTACTGTGCATGCGCCAACCAGACTGATGATGTTGTCATGACGACAAACAGTGACCAGAATCTCCAGCTCCCCCATCAGGTCCTGTTTGTCTCGGTCTTCGGCAGATGCTGGAAAATTAAGATAGTATAAAGAAAGATACCGCTAATAAAGTCATTATCTATATCTTACTATTTATAACTACAGATTTTCAAGCGTTTCTTTTACCCCTATAGTTCATTTTTCTTTTACACAATATGATGGCTATTGATGCTAGAATACGACCAGGCAGATGCTTGCTTTGATATGTTGAAGGACATGTTGATTATGTGCAATGAATGAAATGCACCTTTCAGTGTCTTGACTGCCACAGTCTGAGTCACGCCTCTCTTCCTCAGCTCCCCCATACGGACCTCTCCAAACTGTCCCTTCCCCAGGACTTTACCGAGCGTCAGACTGGACCGGGGGATTTCCCAGTCAGCGTGGACAGGTTTGCTGCTTTCATCGCAGTTCTGAAAGTCAGAGGATAGCGAGTACATGTCTTTGCCTGGCTTAACCCTACCTAGACCGGGGGGGGGGGCTAAAAGTGCCCGCGGCAACTTTGATGTCACCTAGCGTCTGAACGGCTAGCCGTAGAACGACCAAACTTGGTGACTTTTCCTAAAATATTGTTGGCAACAATTCTCTATCATTGGAATGAGATAATAATTTTTTGTGTTGCCATGGCAACGGGTTTCTGACAGGCATTTTTTGCTAAATTTAGTACTTTTTGTTTCAACAATAGAATTTTATGGGTTTTATGTCAAGTTACTCATGGTTTCTAATATTAATAACATCCCATATAATTTTATGTAAATTTTATCATTAAATATGCATAATTTATGCTAATTTTATGACGTCATTGGCCAAAATCCAAGATGGCGGACCATATCATTAGAACAGGTATATACGGGTTATTTTCATTAAAATTTCATCAATACTTCCATTTCTTTTTACAAAAAAGGTTTAAATGAAGGTGTTTAGTATGTTTACAATGTATTTTAGGCTTTATCATGAAAAAAAAACTATTTTTGAAAATTCAAGATTGATGATCCAAGATGGCGGATATCTTAAATATGCATGACGTCATTTTATGACGTCACCGGTGTTGCTATGGGCAACATAAGACTTAGTACACACTAATATTCTGTCATAAACACTTTTGGTAAAGTTATGTTGTATACCAGGGAGGTTTTCAGGGAAGAACCTATTTAGACGGTTTTGGCCAATAAAATCACATTAATGACGTCATAATGACGTCATATTACGTCATAACGACATAACAATTGTAGATATGATAAATTTTCACTAGTACACCATTCTCTGAAAATTCGGTGGTCATACGACATACCGTTCGCGAGTTCTTAGGGGGGGTCAAAAGAGCCCCCCCCCCGCCCCG